ATTCAAAGAAATTGAAATTATTTTCGTAAAAAAGAATAATCAATTATTAGATCAAAAATAAACTAATATTACTTTTATTATAAAGAAAAAAAAGTAAAATGAACTAATATTTAAATGTGGGAGTAACAAATAACTAAAGTGGAAGCAAACTCCTTACATAAAAAAACATAAATATAAGAAAACGAAGGTTTTTTTTTTTATAAAAAAAAACACGATCACTGAATAAAAAAAGAAAAGTAAAAGAAAATTAATTAAGAAATTCAGCATAAACAATATAAATTTACTTAATTTAGTACATACAAAAAATTTTAAAGAACTTCATAATTAGCACTTTTTTAGATAATACCGTTTCATGAACCCAAAACCAACATTAGATTTCAAACAAAAATTTAAAAACCCACCATAAACAGCCACAAAAAAAATCAAACTACTGCCAAAATTTTTAATCAATTTTATTTTTTACAAAAAGAATAAGAAACTACTAATGAAATTAAACCAATATTACCTTTGATGGGAAGAAAACGATGTAAAAAAAAAAAAGACTACTTAATTCAAGAATAACAAATAATCAAAGAAAATGTAACAAAGTCACTACAAAGAAAAATCAACATAAGAAAATAAAATAAAAGTTAAAAAAAAAAAAGAAAAAGGACAACCTTATTGAATTGAACAGTGAAATGGGACCTTCCGCAATCAAGATAACGTGGCCCAATAAAAGCGAAAGTGTTGGCCGGAGAGTGCAGGAGGTGAGTGGCCCTAGCACTGCTCTATTGAATTTTGTTAGTTGATTAAGTGGGGGAGCAAAAGAGAAAAAAAAAAAAAAAACCTCTTGTGAGATCTTTACTTCTAACAACAACCCTTTTCACTATCCCGTCATTAATTTCTACCGTTAAATTTAATTTTAATCATTATTAGTTAGGTTATAGTTTGCATTTTATTTTCTCATTTAATTAAATTAATTATTTAAAATGAAATAAAACTTTTCATTTTCAATTATGGTATAATAATAGTAATTGTGGTTATATTTTTTTATTAATTTTTTAATAAATCTAAATCAAAGCTTTTTAAACTTTCTTCACCTTTAGTATTTTCATAATTTATTGCATTTTCATAATAATAATTAGACTCTCATGTCTTCTTTATTTTAGCTTTCTATTTAATAATAACACATGTAATGTTAAAAAT